GGAGTAAATTCTGCTCCATCTGAAAGCACGTGATGATGATTTCCTGCTGATTACAGAACTGGCTTTACTAACTAAATGCGCATGACAATCGCATTCGATTAATCGTGCAGCCCTAATTGCAATATCTGATTTTAAGAATGCAGAACTCAAAAAACAAATGATCTCAGTCAACTATCAAACTTGGCAGCACTTTGGACATCACACGCAACTTCAATAGAATGTTTGAAAAAATTGTGCATATTAGAGGCACATTTGGAACATTCAGATTTAATATTAAAAGATTTCAAGAGCATCACATGTGCATTTGAAAGACTCAAAACAAACGTTCAAAGCATTTTAGAGTAAATGGAACATGTGAATCACTCTGGGCAAAATAGGCGCGTTCTGAACGATTCTTCGAACAGTTAAAGTAAATAAATACTAAAATAATTTTGGGTGGGTGAGGGGGGTGTATTGGAACGTTTAAGGTTTCGTGGCGTCATAGACCAGAATGGAACGTTCAAATCCAGACCCAAACGCATCTGGATTCTGGAACACCCTCAGCGTTTCCGGAACTCTGAGGTTTTGGAACATTTGGAACGTTCATAGAATTTAAGCACCACGTGGGTTTCTGAAAGGTTCAAAGAGAACAACAATGTTCGCCCGTAATTGGCGTGTCGGAATGTTCGATTGGGGCGTTCCGGTTAGCAGCATTTATCAACGCGACTTAGATGCCCAAGAATGCTGTCTAGGTGGGTTCTGACGCACAGCCAGAGACTGAGATGAAAAATACACAGATGCCAATGAGGCAGGTGGGACTTATATCCCAGTATCCTTGTACATGCGTTTGTCTACAAACGTCACGGCAAAAACAATTTGATATTTAATAAACTAAATGGGCAAAACAAACATCACCACGTTTATCTGCAGGTACCGTTCTAATCATGCATATAAATCAAGCCGAGCTAACCCTAGCCATCATTATCTCATCTGTAAGCTTAAAATGATAGGCAAATGATTAATAAACGCATTGTTACCTTCTCCAGCGGTCTGATGGTGTATCACGGGCTCGTTATGGCTGCATGGGCCGCTAATCGACTCACTGTCCCGGTCTGCCTACAATATAACAAACCCCAGGATCAATACATTTACGCTAATCGCTGCATTATAAACTCTTTCATCTGTGCACGAGCGGAAAGCCGAGATCTGGCTGCTTATGCGCGGTGTGTGAGTTTGTGTGGGCATTGATTTTGTGTAAACCGCTAGCAGCCTGCGCTACTTTCTTTGACAGAAAAATAAACCGCTTTCAGACGTGTTTGCGAGCCGTTATCTTTTCGTTTACCCGTCAACTTACCCTTTTAGCGAGAAGCTTTCTCTGTAAGGAAGGAGCAGCGTAAAATCCGAGCGAAACGGATTAGTCGTGAGTGGGGAAAAGTCGATTCTAAACAATGTTTTCCTTCCCACTGTAGCCGAATTACAGCAGCAGACGACGGCCTCCAGCGCGCGCAACCTAACCTTAATGCACGCAACGGGATACGCGCTCTGTATAAGCCCCGCCTCCTAGCTCTCTATTGGATAAACGAGAAGCCCGTCAAGAATGCTCTTCTCGCCGATTGGCTTATAAATCCGTCGATCTTGTTCAAAATCGAATATGCAAACAATAGTCGATTTTTATTGGCTAATCAGATTGCGTCTTTTAATCAGTGTTGTTTAGGTTCTGGTAGGAGGCAGTGGTTTGTCAATGTTGCTGTCCATCTATTGACTTCATAATAGACTCTAAGTGAATGGGGTGGGGAAATTGAGAGCGAGTTACTGCCTCTAAATAACATTACTATGAGATTGTGATGCGTGTGTGTTCATCCGCCATTCAGCACTTAAAAATAACATCCCATAAGCTTGTGCTGTTAACCACCTGTGCTCTTGTGCAGTAATAAAACACCTATAAGAAATATTAAGCGTGCACACAGAAATGTGTTGTTATGCCCTCAACAGTAAGATTATGTTCGCTGTTACGTCGAGAAATAGGCAAAAGAGTGTAGCGATAAATTATGTCATGGTTTGTACTAAATGTATTTCTCTAGATGGTGAATTAATGTGATATGTGATGAATTTGCATTATTCCAGGAATAACATGAAGCAGGCGAAGCAGTACCAGCTCAAATCACTAGATGTCGCTATTGTCCGTCATTTAATCGCTGCTCGTTGTCTTTTGCAGTCAGGAGCGCTGATATAACCAGTGGACGTGTACAGTACACTACTTGTGTATTTAATTCTTCTCTGTTTTACTGTTTATGAAATAGACATACACATGTGTTTTACATGATGTCAATATTATTTTTTTTATAGATAAATCAGGAAAAAAGCATTTGAGACAGAGGAAAAACTCTGGTGATGTTGCTCACAGTGTTAAAAAAGACTTATTTACTATGAATTAAATATTATTTATTTAATTAAATAAAAATATTGTGTGGAAATTGTATGACAATGTCAGCCATTTTATATTAAGAATAGTGTTTTTTTGTTTTTTTTTAAATATGCAAGTTTTTAAACTAAACTATTTGTAAAGCTATTGCAGTTTGATAAAGAATATCTCTTTGGTTTTGAGACTTTAGTCTTTGCAACTTCAGGGATCTTATCTATGCACAATCAGCTTGTAACACTCCAAAGAGAAAGGAAAACTTGAAATCACATCATATGACCCCTTTAATCTTTATGTCAATGTTTTTTGCATAATCTTGAAATCTAGTTTGCATCCAAAGAAAAATAATTTTGACAAATCTTATGTTAATATTGAAATTTTCAATGGTGTTGTGTCACAATAATGTGCACTATAATACATATTTTGTTTATACATTCATTTAAAAAAAAAAAAAGCAAATTAATTATTTTATTCAGCAGTGAAGCATTAAATTATTTAACATTGACATTAAAACATAATATTACAAAACACAAATAAATGCTGTTCTTTTGAACTTTCTATTTATCAAAGAATGTTTACAATAAAAATGTATCGCAGTTTCCACGAAAATATTAAGCAGCAAAAACGTTTCAACAATAATAATAAGACCATTATTAATAATTGAGCCCCAATAATAACTGATAATAACGGAGCATCAAATCAGCATATTAGAATGATTTCTGAAGCTGAAAATTCAGCTTTACCATCACAGGAATAAATTATATTTTAAATAGAAAGCAGTAATTTGAAATTGTAATAACATTTCACAATATTAGGCCTCCTGTCTTTACTGTATGTTTGGATCAAATAAATGCAGCGTTTGTGAGTTATTTCAAAAAACATCAAAAAAACTTTAATTATTGCGAACATGTTTGTTATATTAACGAAGGATTGCATGACGTCACGGTCGCGCAGGTCTCGCGCGGCGGGATCTTATAAAGGATTGTGATTGGTCCGTCCGCACGCGCGTGGCTCGAACAGGTGCAGGTGTGTGATGGACCTGCGGCGTTGTATCTGCTGCGCGGCGGTGTTTGCGTTACTGACAGGTAATTCTCTTGCCTCACGCTTTTATAGGAGCGGTAGGACGGTGATATTTATGCTCCTCAAAGATCCCTCCGATTCTTAAAAAAATAATAACCGTAATAATAACAAATAAAGGAGAAACCGGGGCTAGTTGTCACAAAGCTACATCTCAGTTTTGAGCGGAAAGTCCAGTTTCACAAATGTGTGTGATTGGTTTCGTATGTTGGTTTGAAACACCCTCTTAAAGAAGACTTTTTTTATAAATTCTGCCCTTTAAGCTAAAATTCTAATATCATATTTTTGGGATAGTATAGGATTAATATCAAGTAAACATCATAAACGCATTTACACTACCGTTCTTTGGGACATGATGTTTCAGTAGCAATAATGACTCTTCAGAGTTTGATTAATTTCTGAAAGTTAGTGTCAATTATAATGAATCATTCAGTAATTTGATCCAATGATATTTCTGTTTTATTCAGCATCAAATAATCAAAAGTGACAGTATAGTCCAGGGGTGTCCTGCAGAGTTTAGCTCCAACTTGACTCAACACACCTGCTTTGAAGTTTCTAGTATAGTTAGACCTTGATTAGCTGGTTCAGGTTTAATTGGGGTCCGAGATAAACTCTACAGGCCCTCCAGGACCGAGTTTGGTGACCCCTGCTATAGACTTTTATATTGTTACAAAACCATTTCTATTTTTAAAAAATGCTGTTCTTTTGAACTTTCTATTCATCAAATAAAAACTGATAAAAATCAAGGTTTCCACAAAAATATTATTCAGCACCACAGTTTTCAACATTGATGATAAACAGAAATGTTTATTGCGCAGCAAATCAGCATATTAGAATGATTTCTGAAGGATCATGTGACACTGAAGACTGGAGTAATGATGCTGAAAATTCAGCTTTGATCACAGAAATAAATTACATTTTATAATATATTCACATAGAAAACCGTTATTTTAAATTGTCATATTTCACAATATTACGTTTTTTTACTGTATTTTAAAATTGTTACATGTTGTATGTTACATTATATATGTATTCGTATATATGTATTTGTGTGTGTG